AGTCGCAGATTTGGTAAGGCTTGTCGACAGTGCAAAGGCCAGTCTACTTTGGGGCAGGACTTCAATATGAAGCCTAGGCAAGTCCACTTCTGAAAGTCTTCGCTGGAAAGGGCAGGTGGAAGCCGATGTGGTTTCATGATCAGCTGGCGACTAGTCACCAGGACAGAATCTCTCACGTCTCAGTTTAAATCGTAAGGATATTAGCGTTGAATATTGTAGTGGCTCAGTAAAGTGTGACGGCTCAGTAAAGTGTGACGGCTCAGTAAAGTGTGACGGCTCAGTAAAGTGTGACGGCTCAGTAAAGCCTTAGTGACTGAGCATACATTACCGTAAGTCACTCACTATGAGCTCTTTACCTAGGGTATACTGCGCAACTTGACACTTTATGCGAAATAGCCCTACCTGACTCGTAAGCATGGGCCAAAAATTGGTCAATGAAAAGTTCCGCAAGGCTAAAGACAATTTTCTTCGGAAAGGCGTGCTTTTCAAGAAGAGCTATGGCGCAGACATCTTCATCGTCATAAGGCGCGGTCAAAAGATTTATATATGTGACTCCGAGGACGGTGTCTCTTGGCTGACAGATCTGAAGATGCTAGTAAGATGAAGGCGCTGATCATCTGGGAGAATGTACTAACAAGGCCAACAGGACCAGAACTACCCCATTCCGATTCGCGTAACGCCAAAGCTATTCGAGACTTGCCCCCGTTCCAAGAAGTTGAAATTGGTTCAGAGAAGAGATAGGGTAGCCGATGATGTGATTGCGACAGAGGGATGATAGGCTATGTACAATACAGATCATTCCACGAACAGTACGCGAGTAGTCCGCGTGACGTACATGACATACCATTCGAGGTCCGCATCACCATGAATTTGGGAAACAAATGTATGAGCAGCAAGATCTCCGAGAGATGTCGCACAGTCCGTCATAGATATAAAGCCCAAGGCATCCGGATCCCATTCCGCCAAGTTGAGGGGTTTGTAAGGCCGTACAGTGCATCATTTTGCTTCCATCTGCTTCGACATGGAAAAGAGAATAGCCAACGAGGCTGAAGTGTCCTTATCAAAAAGAACCTCGTGCATGGTACAGTATTTTCACACATATACTACCAGTACCGTATTTCTTCAAACATTAGTCCAAGCCAATCCAGTCTCCTCGTCTGGAACTGGTTCCTATTTTGGGTGACTACCCCTTAAAGATTGGAGAAGAACGGGGAATCTTACGGATATACGGTAGGGGTGAAGGTCTGACACACGAAGACAAGGCCCAGCAAGTCGACAACCAGCGTGACATCACCATAGTGTTGTATTCAGCACAGATAAAATTGCGTAAGATACTCAATCAGGTCCCCATGTACCTATTCCCCTTATGGAACCATCCACCACACAACTTCCCAGCTGGCGTATACGAACCTCCATTCGGCAGAGAGGCGTCAACAGGCATACCTTCGTTTCTCAATCGGCTATATAACTGGCTAAACGTGAGTAAAGCGATGAGTGTGGATTGGGATGATTATGACGATCCTTCCCCAGATCTAAATATTACTAGGCTACGAGCGAAATACTATGGTGCAGAAAAAAATCATTACTCGACCATACCTACACTACGAATACCATTGCCCAGAAGCCGACCGAGATGTACCGAGCATGGAATTACATCAGATCTCGAAAAGAGAGCTTGACGGCTTCAAAGCTCCGGGAAGCGGAATGGGGGAATTCACTTGAAGATCTTCTTGATAGTGATCTAACTCAGTCTCGGGATGGCATTAGTACCAAAGCATTCAGGAGCATGCTACTTAGTCATGCCTGCATGTGGTCCTTGATCCGGAGTACCGAAGCTTTCGACGGTATTCGAACACGTCCAAAGGTAACGAATATTTTTGGCACAATCCATGCGTGAGTATCATTCATTATTACATAAGATATCAAACACATGATATCAAACACATGATATCAAACACATGATATCAAACACCTAACATGAGACGACAGTCAATTCGGAAATTGCTTGGTTCTTGCACAGTGCTGCGAGTCTGTATGGTTTAAAGACCTTGACGGGTTTGCCCCGATCCATGAAGTCCCCGAACTCCTTGAATAAACGATGCACAAATTCAAGACATACTCAAACCTCGCACCAGCTCTTGGCAAGGATTATCAGATTTTACACAAAGCTTTATATAGCATCAGAGGATGACAGAGATAGCTAGTACATTTTCCAAGACGCATATCATGCGCCGTGGAATAGCACCAAAATGGCAGTTTGCCTCCCAGATCAGTCCGTGACCCGGTGTGGTACCGCGTTTCAGATTAATCGGAGGGGTTCTTATAATCCTGGAAGGTGAAGAGTACACAACCTATAAATTATATCGTCATCTCCGTCAGATAACGGACGGTAATCTCACCTGACTCCTTGGTTATGCTCACAACGGCTTCAGCCTATAGATATAAGAACAATGGCCTGCAGAGAAATATACAAGGCTTAAAGCTACTGAATCCATCCTCGGGATCAGTTCGCGGAATCGCTTTGAACTTTGAGATGTGTGTTGTGCTCTCGGAGCAAAGGGTTGCATGGGTCCCATGGCAATCAGTCACCCTGTTCGAGTGGAGGCTTCAGGCCAGCCACTGGTCGTACATAGTGCCTCAATACTGATGGAGGTTAGTGCTGGCAGCGCGTATTGTCAGTGGTGGAACATCAGGGAGCGAGGAGTGAGTTGCGTGCTCGCGGAGCGCGATGGGCCACACCATCTCTTGAGGCCACGCGGCTGCCATGGTGTCCGGGACGCACTGGGCGATGCGCCTGGCTC